ACACACACACACACACACACACACACACACACACACACACACACACATACCTTGAAATCACCCACAACTTGGCTGTTCTTCCTTGACTGGTAGCCTACAGACAACATGCATTCAAAGTCAAATCAAATTATTTAGACCAGTTAACTCAATCCAACAGAAACATGAGCAACCAGTAAAACAGAAACAGTCCAGTAATAACCTCATAACATGACCAGATTGTATGAAATGATAAATATAAAAACAAGTAGCATAACCAAAATCTACAGGGTCAATAACTAAACAATATGACAGCAACTTCTCTTACAGAAGGGAGAGAGGAGAAGCTAAATGCTCACGGCAAGATGCTAATGGTATAATGTTATTGCAGGTCTGATGTTTACCATGTTGAACATCATAGTTTAGCATGTTAGCATGTTCAACTTGGCTAATTAGAACTGAACACAAAGTACAGCTGAGGCTAATGCTGATGGGGATGCCATTGGTTTTGAAGTGTGTGAACTCATGGACTAGAGGCTCGTGCTCGTGACAGCATGAGATGTAAACAGTTGGTCTCCTCCTTAGCTGAGCTATAACGTTAGCTAGCTCAATGGCGCTCAGTATGGGTTAGCTATGAGCCTCTTGTCCAAGAGAAGATGCACACTTCCTTCTAAAATAGGATTCGGTTGGCGGGTGTAGTTCGATAGAAAGAAACTAGTTCCTACATGAAACTGCTTCCAACAAGGTCTGTGGATTATCTTGAGTTACCAGGTCATGATTTCTGGAAAGAGACATTGCTGTTGAGTTTCTCAAATGTTAATTTTGGCGCTTTGAGCACCACAAGTTGAAAGCCATCTAGTTCCATTATAGAGGAGAGAAGGCAGACATCTCTACGGCCGATACCTCCAACACTAGGAACTCACACCAAAACAAATTGATTAATAACACTACAGGTAAGAGGGAAATGTGTATTTTAGAATTTGGGGGTGTCCCTTTAAGCTCTCAATAAATAATAACTTAAGTTTCAGAGCTTTTCTGCGGTTTACCTATCTTTGGTTATAGAAAAATACTTGAGATTAGAAAACAAGCTTTCAGGGGCTCGTCTCTAACAAGCGATATTTATGTTGCCGGTAACAAAGGGTGCATCTTGAAAGGTCTTGATAGACTTTTGACTGATGGCTTGGCCTATCTGCTGACCCATCCATCGTTTCATCGCAATCAGCTGTCTTTCAGCTCCATTCCATCCCACATTACTAAGAGCATGCACACACACACACACACACACACA